TATATATATATATATAAGATATAAATAGATATAAATACATATAGTACAATTAATTGCTCGGTTTAAAGCCGGGAGCTCGGCATAAATTTGATCAAGGATACTGTGGTTCGCCGAGGCCAAGGGTCTCGACATGGTGTTTTCCAAATTCTCCATCGAAGTACGGTTTGATCCTCTGTCCATTCACTACGAACAACTCTCCATTCGAGGGATTTCGAAGCCGAACGGCTCCAAGTGATAACACTTCATCGATCACATAGGGCCCGCTCCAACGGGATTTAAGCTTACCCGAAAAAAGACGAAGTCGGGAGTTGAACAGTAGTACCTTCATGCCGGGAATGAGGTGCTTCCGGATTATAGTGGCATCATGCAGCCTTTTCGTCTTTTCCATGTAGATTTTGGAATTCTCGTAGGCTTCGTCCCTCAACTCTTCAAGCTCCGAGAGTTGTAACATCCTTTCTTTTCCGGCGGCATCAAGATCATAATTCATCTTCTTAATAGCCCAAAATGCCTTGTGCTCAATTCAACTGGGAGGTGGCACGCCTTTCCATAGACAAGTCAAAAGGGACTCATCCCCAGTACTCCCTTATACACTGTGCGTTGGGCCCAAAGTGCGTCATCAAGCCGGCTTGACCAATCTTTCCGAGACGAGTTCACCGTCTTCTCAAGAATGGTTTTGATTTGTTTGTTGCTCGTCTCGGCTTAGCCCGAAGTTTGTGGATGGTATGGGGTGGCCACTTTATGAGAAATCCCGTATTTCTTCATCAACTTCTCAAACACTCGGTTGCAAAAATGTTTGCCCCCGTCACTCACAATAGCTCGTGGAAATCCAAACCTACTCAAGACATGACTTTGCAAAAACTTGATCACAACGTTAGCATCACATGTCCTAGTGGGGATGGCCTCGACCTATTTGGACACGTAATCCACAACAAGAAGTATATACTCAAAGCCAAAAGATTTGAGAAATGGCCCCATGAAGTCAATGCCCCATACATCAAAGATCTCAACTTGCAAATTACTCACAAGGGGCATCTCATTCCTTGGGCCAATATTCCCAATTCTTTGACAACGATCACAAGACTTGCAAAATTCATACGCATCTTTAAAAAGTGTAGGCCAGAATAAACCTGATTGGAGAACCTTAAAGGCGGTCTTTCGACCTCCATAATGTCCTCCACAATGAAGCTCGTGGCAGAAGGTAAGGACATCCAATTGCTCCTTTTCGGGCACACACCTCCGAAGAATGTCATCTTTTCCCATCTTGAAAAGGAATGGGTCGTCCCAAAAATAACTCCTACACATCAAAACAAACCGTTTTCTCTCTTGGGAAGAGAGGTTAGCCAACAAAACACCATCTGACAAATAGTTCACTATGTCTGCATACCAAGGCACTCTATCCACTTCATTTGCATGTTCATATGAAAAGTCATCATTTATGCCTACATGCTCATGCGATGCAAGTGAAAGGTCAGAAGGAACAATGCGAGACAAGTGGTCAGCAACAACATTTTCACAACCCTTCCTATCCCGAATTTCTACATCAAACTCTTGCAACAACAAAATCCACCTAATAAGTCTAGGTTTCGATTGAGTTTTACTCAAAAGATACCTAAGAGCTGCATGATCAGAATGCACAATCACTTTAGACCCCAAGATGTAGGATCTAAATTTTTCAAGAGAAAACACAACAACTAATAGCTCTTTTTCAGTGGTCGTGTAATTTAATTGGGCACCATTCAGGGTCAAGCTAGCATAATAAATTACACGAAGCAATTTATCAACTCGTTGGCCCAGAACAGCTCCCACAGAAAGGTTCGATGCATCACACATAATCTCAAAGGGCAAAGACCAGTCAGGTGCAATCACAATAGGAGCAGTCACAAGCTTATTTTTCAATTTATCAAAGGCATCTAAACATGCATCATCAAACACAAAAGGCACATCATTAGCAAGCAAGTGACACAAGGGCTGGCTGATTTTTGAAAAATCTTTAATAAATCGCCTGTAAAAGCCAGCATGACCCAAAAAGCTTCGAACACCTTTTACATTTACGGGCGGGGGAAGTTTTTCAATAACATCAACTTTTGCTTTGTCAACCTCAATACCCCGACTTGACACTACATGACCAAGCACGACTCCACTAGTCACCATGAAATGACTTTTCTCCCAACTCAATGTCAAGTTAGATTCAATACACCTCTCAAGTACACGAGATAAATTATGGAGACAATCAGAAAATGAAGTGCCAAAGATAGAGAAGTCATCCATAAATACCTGTAGGCAATCCTCGAGCATATCTGAGAATATGGAGAACATGCACCGTTGGAAAGTTCCGGGTGCATTGCAAAGGCCGAAGGGCATACGTCTGAAGGCCAATGTGCCGAACGGGCACGTAAAGGTAGTCTTGGGCTGGTCCTCGGGAGCTATGGCCACTTGGTAGTAGCCCGAGAGTCCGTCGAGAAAGCAGTAGAACTGGTGGCCCGAGAGTCGATCGAGAATCTGATCAATGAATGGCAATGGAAAGTGGTCCTTCTTCGTCACGGTGTTGAGTCGCCGGTAATCAATACACATTCGCCACCTGGTAGTGATTCGGGTGGGGACCATCTCCTTCTTCTCGTTTTCGATCACTGTGATGCCCCCCTTCTTCGGCACCACATGGATGTGGCTAACCCATTCACTGTCGGCCACTGGATAGATGAGCCCTTCGGAGTAGAGCTTCAACACCTCCTTTTTCACGACCTCCATCATGTTCGGGTTGAGTCGTCGCTGGCTATCCCAAAATGGCCTGGCACCCTCCTCCAAAACGATCCGGTGCATACACGTCGAAGGGCTGATGCCCTTAATGTCTCCTAGGCCCCAACCGATAGCCTTTTGATTCTTCTTAAGCATCTCGATCAGCTCCTTCTCTTCGTCTTGATTAAGCTCGGCAAATATGATAACCGGCTTTTGTTTCTCATCATCGAGGAAAACGTACTTGAGGTGACGAGGCAACTCTTAAAATTCTAGCGTTGGTGAGGCCTTCGATCTCGGTTCTTCGACCTCCATCAGTTCAATAAACGGTCCTTCTTCCTCTTCGAGATCGGGCATCAACCTCTTTTCCAATTCTCGAACAGCAATCTCCTCCACAAACGGGTCACTCGCATCAATAAAGGCGCATTCCTCCACATAGTTTGCCGAAGGGCCAGATGTGGCCTCTCGGACAGAGATAGACACGGACTCGCCTAGGACCGTCATGTTCAAGGTCCCGTTCTTGACATCAATGAGGGTGTTGGTGGTGGCCATAAACGGCCTGCCGAGAAGGATGGTATGGTCCTTCCCATTCTCGTGAACGTCTCCCACATCGAGCACTACAAAGTCCACCGAGACGATGAGCTTTCCCACACGAACAAGAACATCTTCCACCACTCCCTTAGGGTATCGAATGGAACGGTCAGCAAGTTGAAGGCACATACGGGTTGGTCTCAAATCTCCTAGACCGAGTCGCTGGAAGATAGAAAACGGCATAAGATTGATTCCCGCTCCGAGGTCGAGCATCCCTGAAGCCTCTTTTCCATTCCCCAGAGCAATCTTTAACACGAAGTCTCCGGGGTCTCGTTCCTTCTTTGGAAGATCATGTTGCATGGCACTCGCTGCCTCATAAACCACCACCTTCTCCCCATCTCCAAACTTCCTCTTCTTCGTGACCAAATATTTGAAGAACTTCACGTAAGAAGGCATGTTCTTGATCACGTCTAGGAGAGGTAAGTTGACATTGACCTTTGAGAGCATGTTGTAGAGATCTCGGAACTGTTGCTCTTGCTTCTCGTCTCGGAGTCTACTCGGAAAAGGGATGCGTGGCTTGTAAGGATTTGGAGACTTGTGAAGCAGAGGACTCTCTGCTAGTTTTCCCGAGTCGGGTTCTGTGCTCTTCGTACTCTCCTCAGGCTCTTTGGGTTGGTCGGTTGATTTGGGGCCATTAGGATCGGGCATTCTCACTTTGTTGTCCACTTCTTTCCCGCTCCTCAACACTGTTATTGCCTTGGCTTGCTCAGGCTGGCTCGGAAGTTTTCCCTTGTCAGACTCGGCCTCCATATTCCCAACTCTCGTGGCAAGTTGGCCCACTTGCGTCTCAAGACGCTTAATGGACGAGTCCTGGTTGGTGATGAACTGAAGGATCTTGTCCAGCTTGTCATCTTGGTTCGACGAGCTCGAACCGGACTCTTGGGCTTGTTGTTGCGGTTGCTGCTGTTGTTGGTAGTTGGGACGAGGGATGAAATTGGGACGAGGTTGTTGTTGCACGAAGATTGGACGGGATTGCTGCTGGTTGAAGTTTGGGCGAGGTGGCTGGAGGGTGTTGTTGTTGTTGGACCACGAGAAGTGTGGGTGGTTTCTCCACCCGGGGTCGTTTGGCTGCCGGTTCTGATATCCTTGGAGAGCGTTGACATCGGCGTATTGCTCTCCAAAGTCCTGATCGAATGTCGACGGGCACACCTCTGACCGGTGCCCTTGGGCTCCACACGCCCCGCATGTATCCACTGCCATGGTCTGGGCTGGCTGCATTGTCCTAGCATTCATTAGCCTCATTTGCTCCGTAAGCTCAACTATCTGATGAGCCATCATGTCTTGCCTCGGAGATGCCTCATTCACCACTGTCCTCTTCCCTCGGCTGCTCTTCTGAGACGAGTTGGCACTCATCGTCTCAAAAATCTCATACATCTCTTCGGCAGTCTTCGCACCAATGTCTCCCCCCGCAGCAGTATCAACCATATATTGCAAATTCTGATTGAGGGAGTCGTAGAAACAATTCATCAACAGTCCTGGCGAAAGATTATGGTGAGGGCACTGTCGCTGAAGATCCTTAAATCGCTCCCAGGCTTCGTGAAGGGGCTCACTCGGTAGTTGGGCAAACGAGACAATCTGCGACCGGAGCTCCTGAGTCTTTTGGTGGGAGTAGTATCTCCCAATGAACTTCGTGTAGACTTCAGTCCAGGTGGTCAGAGATGCTGGTGCAAGTGTCATGAACCAGGCCTTAGCCCGGTCTTTCAACGTCTCGGGGAAGCACCTCATCTTCAATTGATCCTCGTTCAGCCCGTTGAGAGGAAAGGTGTTGAGCACATTGTAGAACTCCCGGATGAAGTTAAGTGGATCTTCACTCGGGAGTCCGTGGAATGCCGGTAGCTGGTTATAGTGAATCATCTTCAGCTCATAATTTCGTGCTTGATCCGGCAAACGGATGCACGAAGTGACAGGCCCGATAACCGGCTGGGCTAAGGTTCGGTGAGTGTTACGAGGAGCTTGTTCTTGTTGGTCACCCATGTTGACGTTGCTGCCTTCTGACGATTCTGGAGAGTGGTGGTCTCTTTCTTCGGATTCCAGTGTAAGCTCGTCTAACAGCTCTCTCAGGCTCTCGCTGACTGACTTGTTGATCGGGGATAACAATTTGCGTCCACTCTTGGTACGCATACACTAAACCAACAAGAGTTACGAGCACCAATGATAAAAACAAAATAAAAACAAAATTAAACAAGGACTAATATCTAACAAATACAAAAGAAAAAACAAGAGAAATCACAAGAAATAAGAGAAACACTAAAAACAAGATGAATAGGCGCACAAAATAAACCTAAACCTTCCCCGGCAACGGCGCCAGTTTGTTGTAAGTATTTTTACCGGAGTAGAATCGAAAGATTCGACACCGGGTCGTTTCACAAGGAAGGTCGGCCGGATTATCTTGCACGTTATTCAATCACACAAAAAGATAAAAGAAAGTCCTATACACTCTAATTCAAGATTGATGGATTGATTTAACGACTACTAATTGTAAAGCAAGTAATTATGAAGGCAAAACAATCAATTCCAATTCTCAATTAAAACACAAATTCCAATAGTTTAAAGAGACTAGGGTATCGGGGACAATCGTATTCGGTTCTCAATACATTAAACGGGCAATCAATTACTCAGCTAATGAACAAACAATAACCAATTCATCTAGAGATTCATTCTCAATATCTCACGAAACAAGAGAATAAACATAAACGAGCAATTATCGAATTCATTAACACATAGACAATACGTTTCCGAACAAGTCTACTCTAAACAAGCCGAGGTCGATCGATTTCTCCCCTTTCGGTTCTAAAATTGATTAAATAGATTAAATGATGATCAGACATTCAACCCTAGGTTTAGCCTAACTCATTTAGATCGAGCAATCAACATTCGCATCAATGAAATTGAACCGGAACAATAATCCCCTAACCCTAGTTATCGAATTTAGCTACTCATAATTGATTCAACATCAACACATTCATCAACCCAAGCAAACATCATCATATCAAATAAGAAAAGAAGTGCTTAAGATTAATTTGAATCCAATGTTGAACAAACACGAGCAATCCAAAATCCAAACGAAAATTGGAGTTTTTATGCTCCAAGATCAAATCCAAGATGAAAAGTAAGAAGAAAAATGTGCTCTAGGGTAAAAAGCTGTTCAAAACCCGTCTGAATGTGTTCAAATCCACCCCTTTTTCGATCATAAGCCTTTCCATATTTGAAATCCCAAGAAAAACGCAGCAGTTACAAAACAGACCTTAGCGGCGCTAAGGGTTCTTAGCGCCGCTAAGCCACCTTAGCGGCGCTAAGGCTCCTTAGCGCCGCTAAGCAAGGTTAGCTGCTCATGTCTGTCCCCGTTAAACTTCAAAGCGGCGCTATCAGCTATGGCCTTAGCGGCGCTAAGGCCCGGAAGATCAACATTGCTGCTTTTTCTTTGGTTCGTGCGCTCATCTATGTCGCTCGGGTACTGCCCGAGCTGGGAACTCAACTTTTGCATGCCCGATGCTCGAACAACACACTTCCCTACTTGCCAGAGTGCTCGTCCTCCAATCATCCTAAAACCTGGAACCAACACAACGGGAGAGAAAAACACGAAAAACGAAGAAAATAGGAAAGAAAACAAAGAAAACACTAAACACACCGAAATAAAGATGAAAGCATAAGAAATGGCAAAGAAGACCGAAAATACCTAAGAAAAGATCTAAAACGGGGGAAACGACCCACAAGATATCAACGAAAATAGCAACAAAAACGGGAAAAACACATACCCTTACCCCGGTAGGTTCTCTTCCTCTCCCTGTGTGAGTCTCCATCCGTAGGACCTCCCGCGATCATGTGTATTACGCCTTTCTTCACCGGCCTATCAGGCTGCTCATCAATTCTCCGCCGCTTGTCCCCTGACTCACGCTCCTCCCGGCGATCTTCTCGGCGCTCCCTATCCTGGATCACAAACTCCTTTAAATGACCGGCCCTAATGAGCCGCTCAATCTCATCCTTCAACTCCCGACAAAAGTTAGTAGAGTGACCATAGTCTCGGTGGTACCGACAATATCTATCCTTTCCTTCTGAAAATTTCCGCGGTGGGGGTAGGGGCTTTGGTTGTGCAAGCAGCTTATCCTCCCCCCGCTTCTCCATCATCTCCAGGATCTCCTGTTGTGGAGCATTAAGTAGTTTGTAGTGCTCGTACCTCGAACCCCTGAATCGATCCTCGACCCGAGACTCCTTAAGGGGAGCTCGTCGATCACCTTGTCGAGGCCTATCCTCAATCTGCTTAACCTTTATTTTATCATTCCGGATGAAGTCCGCCTCCGATTTGTCCATATTCATATACTTGCTACACCTCTCCAAGAGCTCGTCAAATGACCTTGTCGGCCGCTTCGCCAAGGAATCCCTGCATTTCCCAGGCCTCAATCCTCGAGTAAGGCCTCCAGCTTTTACCTCTTCTGAGGCAGAGGGGACCTCTACGCACTCCTTAGTGTACCGCGCTACATATTGCCGCAAGGTCTCCCCCTCATTCTGCTGCATATTTATCAACGAGAGGTACGTCTTCTCATGCTTCCTGGCACTCGCAAATTGATTGAGAAACAGAGAGCTGAACTTCTCAAAGCAATCGATAGATCCTGCTGGCAGCTGATGGAACCAATCATGCGCCGACCCCTTTAATGTCGTCAAAAAGGCTCGGCAACACAGCATCACTATACCTGTGCAGCACAGCTATGTTGTCGAACGATCTCAAGTGTCTAGCTGGGTCCGCCGATCCATCATACGACAAACTCAACTCCCTGAAGTTGCTAGGCAAGTCTCCTCCTAAGACATCCTCTGCAAAGGGGTGTCCTCGGGAGACTACAGGTCTCTTACCCTGCACCCGAGCTTGGAGTTCCCGCATTTGAGCTGCCAACCTCTCCAGAGTTAACCTTTCCAGTTGCTCCGTCGCCATCGGGCGAGAGGTCACTGACCTAGCATCCTCCTCGTCACCCATCTCCACGCGCTGGTGCTGCTGTTGCACGGGGGTTTGTTGTTGAGGTGTTAGCGGCTGTCGCGACGGAGGTTGTTTAAACGTCTCATTAGGGGCTCTCTTATCCACCTCTTGAGCCCGGCCTATTGCCTCTGCAATGATCCTATCCAACTCTGACCTGGTCATCTGAATAACCGGGTCCTCCCGTGGTGTCGAGGAAACATTATCCCCCGGAGGGTTTTGTGCTCCTACCACGACCAACTGCCTACTCCCAAGGGCACCACTCTGATCACCCGCACCCCCGGATCCTAAAACACCTTGATTTGCCCCGCCATCAACCGTGGTACCAGCCTCCTTCGCTTTGTCCGCCACACCACCAGATCCTCCCGAGTTCGTCGCGCGCCTCTGAGCTTCTGTTGGTGGTATAGGGGTCACGCCCGGGCCCAACAACGTCTCTTTGGGGGTGACAGGCGATGATGACCAGCCCGGCGGGGGACCTGCCCCGAAGGCCCTCCGAGCCCACTCCTCATCCATCTCCTTAGTCAAGTTCTTCTTCGAATTATCTCCTGCCATGACTTCTATCGTTCTTCTTTTGTAGTGAGAAAAAATAGCCCTTAAAACTCTGGTAGAAGACTGATCCTCCCCACAGACGGCGCCAATTTGTTATACCACAAATACTCGAACCGCTGGACCGCTCCTCTCGAACCGGGTTGCGTCTCCTTGATCGTCGGTACCTGCAAAGCACGCCGGGGGTGGTCCCGGCGCGAACACTCCGACGCTCAAGTCAGTGATGGTCTAGAGAGAAAACGGCAGAGTAGCGAGATAGTTCGTGAATGTGTGTTGTGTAAAATGAATGAACCTGCTCCCTTTTATAGGAGAAAATATGAGAGTCCCAGTGGGATAAGAAGTCTTTCTTGCGTGAACTACTTAATTAGGTCAAGAACATCTCGAATTGCAAGAGTCCTTGTCGCCACCAACTCCTTCGTAACTTGATCCCGAAGCCATCTTCAGGTTCTAGCCCCTTCGACGGCATACGAGGGCCGCCGAACACACGAGGGCCGCCAAGCGTACGAGGGCCGCCGGGCACCTCCCTTGGCCGAGCACTCTCCTACGCCGAACATTCACCCCACGCCGGGCACTCATCATACCGGGCAATGCCGCGCCAGACATTTCATCCCGACCACCTCCAATGCCGAGCACCTGAGGGGCGCCGAACACCGTGCGACGCCGAGCACTCCCACTCGCCGACTACCATAATACTTAGCCGGTCCCCTTCATATTGATAATGATGACCGGATCACAACTGGTTCCTCACGAGCCACTACTAACGACCATATCAGTATTGGTTGTATATGAGTGTGCTGCACTTCTGCAGTTTCACCCATTACTCCCACTAGCTAGAAATTGTATA